GCACACACAGCCATACGTGTGCATACCGTCCATCCGACCCCGACACACGCTAATGAGCCATCTTTAATTGCTTCTGATGACCTCTTGTCAAATAAACATTTGTTAGAAGCGCTCTAACTTTTCAGGCCGGCCTCAAATTCACCATAAGATAAAAACTCGTCCGGCACAATTTAACGCCATTTTGCCCGAAGTGATCCCGGTCTCTACCCAGCCTGAGGCGAGTCACGAGTGAGGCAGGACAGGAAGCCGGAGTCACGAGTCACAGGATGTCGGAAGTGATGTCATGCTGGACAAGAATCAGAGTCCGAATAACATTTTTTCATATTCGGACTCAAGTCCGAATAGTCACTTCGTAACACAAAAGAAGGAAGACAAGAGAAATAAGGACAAAAATTTGATATGAAAGAAGGAGCAAACCACACCAGAGTACCAGTCAACCACCCACTAGATGTAGACTAGACCTAGCTAAATTAAATAAGTAAAGAATAGATATCTAATAATAGTAGAATCTAATACTAATAGGTTAAGCCAAAGAGACAACAATGACAACTTGACTTGTGGCAAGGTAAACAACGTCATTGTCATTGATGCTGACAGTCATTTAAATCTTGATCTGCTTACGACAGTGTTGTCTTCTGAAACACTCGTTACCTTAAATATCACTTAACATCATAGGCCAACTGAGAATTACGTTGTCTTGGATGAGAACGCCGAGTTGGGTCTATAGCTTCTAATTACAACAGGTTAGCATCCAGGCTATTGTTGAGAAACTGGTGTTTATTACTGTTTATCAAAATTTCCCGGAAGTGATACTCGTGTGAGTCATTATCAATTGTGTGAAAAGGCTAAAACATGGAAGATACATGTATCAAAATAACGAAATACAATATTATCATGCTGGCTGATTGACTGATTGATTTTTTTAAAAGCACACGAGCGGGACACACGCACACACACACACACACACACAGAGAGAGAGAGAGAGAGAGAGAGAGAGAGAGAGAGAGAGAGAGAGAGAGGGGGGGATCTGTTGGGCGTTAAGTAATGATACTTTAGGCTAATTCGTTCTTGTCGACTTAAAAGGCTGTAGGAGAATGATTTTTTTCTTTTCTCGAGTTACGTTGGCCTCACACAATTATATTAGGTTAGACCTGTACAGTGGCCTACCCACCAGAAACCAAAAAAGGTCACCGCAGACAACTGAAGCAGATAAGTGAATTTAACGCGGACGTCACCTTAACATTACCGTAGTTGTTGTTGTTTTTTTAAGCTTTTAAATAAAGCTTAAAAATCAGTTGGTGAATAACCAGCGTCGGCTATCCCTGAAATCTAGCAAGGTAACGCAAAGAAAAAGAATAAAGCTCTGAAAAGTATGAATATATGTTTATGTTGACCAATTCAAACATGGAGCATATGCGGACATTTTAAACAGTGAGGCTAAAGCAAAAATTTTTTTAACGTAAGTTTTAAAAAATCGCTAATACGACCTCGATAACGATAGACTTTCCAGTGAAATATATATATGGCAATACAACCACATACATCGTTCGTCTTAGCACCAAGAGAGTTTCAACAGTGGGGCAGTTGCAGCACATGCGCGCCCCGCGTATGAAAAGTACAAAGGTAATAAATAAGTAAGCCTAGCAAGTCCTACAACATCATTTCCTATAACATAGTATCGGCGGCGTCCAACCCAAACCGTGTATGCGCCAAGAGTAAGTCAAACAATGTTGTTTTGTTGGGGTTTTCTGGGGTCTCAAATTATGTGTTATCAAACGTATTTCAGTGCAAATGGTGACAGTTTAAAGGCCTACTAAAATATATTATAATAAGGCCTACTAAAAAAACCCCACTCTACACAGCATTTTGAGCAGTTCTGGTAGGTTAATTAGATAATGAGATAATGAAACGAAAGTGTACATTTTTGTCCACTTTACTTATTATATAAGCAAGGTTTCTTATTATTCCCGATGAAACGCGTATTATGACCCTTTGGCCTACCTCCCCCCCCCCCACCCCTTTTTTTGGTGCGTCTTTTAATACATTTAATCTTCGGCATTTATGACCTTATTGTGTTGCAAGTGCCGTAAAACTTACTGAAAAAAAATGTTCATGCACATAGACGGTTAGTTTCAGACATCGACGATATTATAGTAATGTTATAGTATAGCCATTCACAGTTAAGCAGCTAGCACTACAATAGGGCAGTCGCGTAGGGTCCTCTGGGGACAATCGTCCGCAACTCTGAACCTGCTCTAACAACCACGTATAGGCTCTAATATAATCACCAGGGCAAACGTGTTGCATTTTCTCCCTTGCGTATGGCTTACAAAATTATAATGACACTCTGTAAAGACGTCCACCTGTCTAAAACAACCATCTTTCTTCCCTACAGTGTGTGCAATAGTTCACACAAATTACACAAATGCGACAACGCACACTACAGACACTTCGTTGTCCAACAGAGCAAAGTAGCCTTTGAGGGGCGTGGTTTGGGGGCGTGGCCGGACAGAAAGCACATTAATCTATTCTTTTAGAAAGGAGGGGGTAGTGGGGTGAATTGCCTTTTCATTATATCTGTTCGTATGCTAATAATAATTAAAAGCCAGGTTTCCCTCCAAACCAGTTCCCTTTTCATACGTGAACAGCATTATCCGTCAGCCGTCAGCAAAGTGTAGGCTTCTCTTCTCAACTCAACCCCCTCCCCTCTCTCTATACCCCCCCCCCCCTCTCTCTCTCTTTCTCTCCCTCTCTCTTTCTCTCCCTTTCTCTCTCTCTCTCTCTCTCTCTCTCTCTCTCTCTCTCTCTCTCTCTCTCTCTCTCTCTCTCTCTCTCTCTCTCTCTCTCTTTATAGGCATATGTACAATGTATCTATTTGCTTTTTACTTTTACTTTTTCATCCTTAGTTGCCTGCCACTGGGCGTGGAGGGGAGGTGCAGTTTTCTCAATATGGCAGACCAAGTCAGCTCTTTCAGTGGAAATGTTATATCTTCTCATGGTTTCCTTGGCTCCTTCTAATCCATCTTTCGTTTGGCCGACTTCTTCCTTTGTAGCCTGAGTAGTACTTGGTGTCAAAAAGGCTCTCGAGGCTGGCTAGATTCTATGTGACACACGTAATACGTGGCCAAACAATTTTATTATCTTTTTCTACAATCGAAATACAGACAGTTGCCACATTTTCTTTTCTCTGCCTGTCTCTTCATGTTGTAGCATTCTTATATTCACTTTTTCACATTTATAACACCCTTCGGGCTACTCAAAAACTGGATAACCAATTACTTTGAAATTTTTTACACATTTCACCTGAAGTTAAAAATGTAAAAAATATATACAATATTGCTAGGCGATATATATATATATATATATATATATATATATATATATATATATATATATATATATATATATATATATATATATAAGTCTCTGTGTGTGTGTGTGTGTGTGTGTGTGTGTGTGTGTGTGTGAGCGTGTGTGTGTGTGTGTGTGTGTGTGTGTGGTGAGTGTGTGTCCCCGCGCATGTGATTCATCGTCAGTATCATTCTACAATTGCCCAAACAGTGTCTGTGGCAGTTAGGCATTTCACTGTCACACACAGGAGACCCGAGTTTAATCTCCACACGGGGTGACATTTTTATTGATTGTCTCGGTCTTTCTGCTGGGATTTTGTATCTCTCTCTGCCCGGGAATTGACCATGACAAGCAGTCAAGCAGTGTCAGACCTGCCTCCTAAGTGATCTGAATTGTGTTGATGGGGGCTTAAAAACACATAGGGCCTACATGTACAATAAAGAAAAAAAATTGCCCATATCAATCTCTGTGATTCCAGGTACTTGTACAGCTGTCATTTGAATAGAGACATCAAGGAGCATCATCATCATCATCCAGTGTCAGATCTGCGACAGACATCGGCTATTATTATGGTTCTCCATTCATTTCTTTGCTCGGATGCTCTTTAAAAAACTATGTTTCCCTGATCTTTCCCCACCACCCATTCGTTCAGGTTCCCCAAGTAGGTTACCCTGGGCCTGCCCCTGCCTCGCTTGCCTTCATTAAGGAGCATCATATAATGTGTTATTTCCATTTTAGTTTAAAACGGAAAAATAATGGTTGTCTAACGTTGTAGTTCTGAGCTGGGTGCTCTTATTTTCTCAAAACTGAAAAAGATTACTTAAATGCCAGCTGAATGATTCTGACAATATCATATAGTTAGTTGAGTGGTCTCGGTGGCCTAGTGGGTAGGCTCTCAGACTCGAAACCGTAAGGTTGGGGGTCCGAATCCCATCAGGGGCCCAATGTTGTATCCTTGGGAAAGGTACTTTACATGAAGTTTCCTCACTTCACTCACATGGAAATGGGTACCCGGCTATACACAGCGTAAGATCTTGTCTGTATGTTAGTGTTTGAGCATGTGAAATCTGCAGCTTGCACTGTATGCTTCCTGGGGATACCGAGAATATTTCCGAGTGTTCTAGGGTCTTCTGGAGTAATAATAGTTGTTAAAGCACATATAGAGGGGGCTCTCGTAGTCTAGAGGTTATGGTGTTTGCCTCTCATTCTGGGTTCGAATCCAGACAGCGACGGAAAATTTTCTTCTCTAAAAATTTCTCCTTTCACCTCCTTTCCTGCTCTCTAACTATGTTTTGTCGTCTTATCGTCTGCTTTCTTCTCCACTTTTTGCCCCCCTCCCTAATCCCCTTTGCTCTCTCCTGTCGTCTCTTGACTCTTTCTGCAGCCTTTCTACTGCTACTCCTTGGCTTCTTCTCCCAGCTGTCTTTCTTCCACACCTCTGATCTTAAGCCTTCTCGGGTAAGGGCGAAAAATCTCGGAGGTCTAGTGTGCAAGCTGCACACGTTAAAGATCCCTTGTGGTCCCAAAATCGAAAAGAGATGCCACCCGGGCAAAATTCTAAATTTCCCACCAACTGAAAAATGTTTAATGTGTCCTGTGCGCTCATATGACCTTATGCAGTTGCGAATGTCGTGAAACACTTACAACAAAAAAAAGCACATAGAGCATGCTGCAGAGCATGGCTACGGGCTATATAAATGTAATAACTATCATTATCATTATTATTATTATTATCACTATTCTTTATCGTCGTGTAAAATCTATGTTATTCTATTACTAGTTTCATGGCAGCAATGGTGGTCCACTCCTGCTATTCTTTCTAACAATGCAGAAGTAGAGAGTAAACTCCCTCCTTTTCTTTTGCAACATGACTAAATTTCATTATAATATTCAAGATTTTAGTGAAAAAAATCTAAAAGTCTATGAAAAAAATAACAGTTTTACAGTGTTTTATTGAATGAAGTGTGCATAAAGTAGAAAAAAAAGATCTGTGAAATATATATATATACTATTTTCATCACAGCGAGCTTTCAAGAAAGAAAATTAGCAGAACAAATACAAAAATGTTCATCAAGTGAAGAGACAGAGATGCAATAATCCATCAACTTGGGTCAACTCAAGTCTTACTCCGTAATGCAGCAGGCATACAGTACAATATTTATGATATCAATACATTGCCAGTTCAAAGAAGCAAACAGAGTTATTCATATTCAATGCTGATAATACATACTCATTGTTAAATAAAGTTTCCAAAGAGACAGAAAGAAGAAAAAAAAATGTAAATAACTCTGAAAGTGTAGGCCTACAGGGGAAAAACCTGAGACATGTTATTAGGAACATTATAATTTAAGGACGGCCTGTATAAGGAGAACTGCTAAAGTAAAACATTTTAAAATATGATGCATAACAGTATTAACTAGTCGAGAGGGATGAATCCGAAGTGTTGAATGGGGATGAGCAAATTGTAAAATAAATGGCATTAATTATCAGGTCAAGGTTTATTATAAGGGCGAATTATCACAATTTTCTGATTTTAATATGCGTTCGTAGCATATGAATACAGCAAAATATAACATATGTATAAACGTATATAGGCCCATGTAAAAGTTGATGCCAAGCACAAAAATATGCAAGCAGAAGTCTATGTACAAATGCAAGGTGCTTTCGGTGGTTCACACATATTGACGAGAAGAAGGCATACAGGAATCTGTCCAAATCAAGATTATTTTCATAAATAGTTACCTGACTTGATTATCTTTAAATGGGGGTAGGGAGGAATAATTGTCCCTATAGTGTTCTGTGCAGTGAAGCAAAATATTTAGCTAGCTCGACTGCCTTTATGAGGCATTCTTACTTTAACCCTGCCTTGGCTGTAGATGCAGTTTGTAAAATGGAGTGAGCCTTGAGAAGTGACCACGCATTGACACATGCAAATTATAAAGTAAATAAAACCTGTTATGCCAGAAGCTTGCATTTGAGGAGAACCTGCTTTTACATGTCTTGTGCTTTGGTGGAGATATCTGCAATAAATTCAGACTGACACCTTATTGTGTACGTGTCATAAGAGGTAAAAAACAACCAAAGATAAAAATCACTGTGTGCAAAACAAATTTCGAGATATATACAAAGGAAATTTATAATATGTGCATTAATTCCTCGATTGCAAATCATATCTGTATCAAACAACAAAAAAAAATTGAGACACTTGGTCAAGATTGATAAAAAATGTAAAGTTTATGATTGGCTTGAAAAACCAGAGTTCTGTAACGGAATGAAATTAACACAGAGTTTAAGTAAACAGTTCTCTGTAAATACTGTTTGTCTGAAGGGCTTTTTTCTACTTGAAGCTTAATAAGTCAAAGTGAAAAAGACTATAAATGCAATGGTGCAAACAGATTCTTATCTCATGTTCAAAGTATGGAATAAACTGAATAAATTTTCAAAAATATTAATTATAAGAAAAAAATTGTTCAGAGAGGTACACTCCTGTTTAAATTGTTATTATTGCATACAAAATTAATAACAATGACTTATGATAAAACCATTTACAAACACAAATAGATCTGAAAATTTTTTTTTGGGGAAAAAACAACAACTTTTGAGCGAAGTTGAAAACTTGAGGGCTAACCTCAAATTCAAATTAAACATTTGATGTTATCACAGAAGATATGGGATAAAAAAAAAAAAGCCCCAAGTAAATACTCAATTTGTGTAGCAAAGGCAGAAAGCACAATAATGAAATAAAAACATGTATGTGAGTTCACATAAAATCAAAGGTTTACTACATAAATATTTAAAACATATCACAATTAAGTGGCCTGATATGAAAGAAAAAAATCCCATTCATTTGTGTAGCAGAGGCAGAAAGCAAAAAGTCCAGGTAGATATACACACACTATTATTATTATCATCACTTTTTGAGACTATTGTCAGACCTTCTTACCATGAACATTCTGTACAAAAGTATGACACAGATCCTTAATAATAATGAAGTATAACTGTGATAATGATTATATATTGCTTTTTCATTATGAAAACAATATCACTAGTATGAAAAATTTGATAAAACATCTGCAGGCAATAATTTAAGGGACTGCATTGGAAAAAAACTCCAACAACAAATCATGTAGCACATAAACTAACAAACAAAAGGAACAATAAAGACAAAAGGTCTCACCATTTTCCTCTCAAATGATACGTTTACATCGCTACTGCAATATGCAATGGCCAACATCTTCTTGGAAAAAATGTTCACTGTGACGTATGGGCCACATTCAACAAACCCATAAACATTCAACAAACCCATATAAAAAACAAATATCCCAGGTTATTTCCAAGAAAACTTGGATAAAAAACAAAGAACAAACTCATAAACAAATATCCCAGGTTATTTCCAAGAAAACTTGGATAAAAAGCAAAGAACAAACTCATAAATAGACTCAACTCCTTAGTGGACGGAATTCAGACTTCTTCGCAAATTCACTTTTGAGAAGTATTATGTGTTGTGTTTTGATACTAGGAGCAAAAGTTAAATTAATTTCAATGCTAAGTGAATTAAAAACATAATTACATGTTTAACAAAACATCAAAGAAGAATTGAAATGAGACAGATATATCATATCTGAGACAGAGAAGTGAAATGAGACATAAGGAGAGAATTTCTATCAGACGTGTAAGTAATGACACATCTTCTAACAAGAGGTATTGTCAAATTTGTTAGCGCAACACAAAGTCAATTAGCAGGAAGACATATTTTGGGTAAGTAGACGAGGGTACACAATATATGAGGGTCTTGCCGGGCATGGAAGAGCTTAGCTTGTAAAGACAGCAAAATACTTCCGAGCTTATAATATTTATCTTCTCAGAGAGTAATGGTGTGTCTTTTTGTCAGAATTGGTATCATTATGGATGTCATTTTGGTTAGTAAGACTTCAGAAATTTGCTGCTTTAGAAATAAAGGGAAATGTTAACAACATATTTGGAAAGGAAAAAGGGGGCGGGGGACACAGTCATGAAACAAACAAAGTGTTTGAAACTTTCCTTAAAGTAAAAGTAAAAGTTGAAATTCCAAAAGATTCTGGAGAAAGTGTCAGCAATATAATATGGCAACAAGAACTGCAGTAACAATACCAATAGCAGATTCTTGCTGCAGAAATTCTGAATGACCAATTAAATTCAGAAAAAGAAGCTGCAGAAACAACAATCATTTGAAGTTCAGGGGTGATCCCCGGTCACTAGTGAAGACTCCCACCATACAGCATGGATACTTGCTTTGTAAGCATTTTGTTTACTTATCTCTGTTATTCCACATTTATATGCAGCCGCTTTTATCATCCAATTTTTCAGCACCACAAACTTCCCTTAAACTCCGCTCTTGTTTAGCCTTTTTGTATAAAATAACACCACACTGAGTAGAAATCAGGGATCCTTGCAATAAACACACAATTTTGTAACAGAAAAGTTGGATTTGCTGGGTTTTGTAGATTTTTGTTATGAATGTAAACAACTAAGCCAATCTGTGCATCATCTGAAGTGGCTTGCCGTAAACAGAGAGTTTGAGAGTAAATGTAACTCAGTCATCCAGCTGACAGAGCATCGCAACCCCTCGGTTGATCCAGTGGCTCTCAGGCTTGTCACTGGGGATGGTCATTGTCAACACGTAGTTCGTGGAGTGTCCAGTTGTGGAAAGCACACCGCGTCTTGCACTTGTCTGGTACACTGCAACGTTGTTAGTAATAGAAAAGTCTGTGAGTTACTCATAACACAGATTATTTCAGCAACTTTCAATTGTTTATGAGCATTCCTATAGAGCCCATGCACAGAAACAAACGATTGTGCCCATAATTAACTCCATTCTTAAACTAAATAAGGCAACTAGTGTGTATTTTCAGTATTGTTTATACAAGTCTTTTGTCTTAGGAGTCTTTGCTAGAGTTCAAAGCATACTTGCAACTAACACGTGGCATTCCAAAATTTATCAGGGCAGGGCAGGACAGATAAACAATTAGTTGTTTTTAAGTCAGATACTCATCTAGGAGCCTTGTAAATCTTTTAAAAGATTTACACTATTGTGTCATGTTGGCCTAAAACAATAGCTCACATCCTCACTTACAATCCTGAAAAAGAGAAAAAAAAACAAAAAAAAGTACAATCCCTTACCTGGACAGTGGTAATAACTCTTTTCTTCGAACCTACTTCTCTCCCCTGGCTTCAGCCAAATCTTAGAAAGGCTGTAAGGAAAGCGATATGACTGCTTGGGAAACAAACAGATTATAAAGCACTGTATAATCTAATGACACCCGACACAGAAATTTGACGGAAGAAGCCCAGTATATTATACAGACTACCTGTCACACCACGAGGTCATGTCTCTTATAGCGTGGGACTTTATGTCATAACATCCCTACAACAGAGCATTAGAGTTAGACAAGAAAGAACACATAAAAATGAAAGTTTAAAAAAATCCATATTGAGTAAAGAGCTTCTGAATAAATTTTTAATACCTTGGACACAAATAAATAATGGTAACCATAAGGAAGCTATAATATAAGAATAGGATTATGAGAAACTGTGGTACTGTGAGTTAATCCTTTGAGCCCTAGCCACCGGAACACTGGTGGCGTATAAATTGCCCGTATGCCTAGCCACCAGTACATCAATGAGCAAGACCGTATCCCCAAATCAGTCCGTTTGGGACAAAATGCGCACAGAAACCAGTGTTTGCTACTCAGGATATCATTGATCTTTATGAATTACATGCTAGTAATGAGGACTACCCTGAGTGGGATGTGGAATGTGGTTCTGACGATGATATAAATGTGGGAGTAATACAAGAGTGAATTGCTCAGGAGCTCAGGCAGAGGGGCACGGTAGCCTCAGGAGGTCAGGGCTCAAAGGGTTCATGACACTGACACAGCGTACAAGAATGTTTTTGATTTGATAATATCTATTAACAACACTGCCTACACAAAATCAAAGGATACAATAGGCACTTGGTCATTAAGAATCTTGGGATTGCTTTCAGCAACGACACGTGAAGTTCGACACCAGCGAGCTCCTTCCATGAACAACCCTCGAACATAAGCGCCGGTCAACTAGACAAGATGTAGAAAGATGTTTAAAAATCAAAGACATGACATGAAATATGACTGCTGTTGCATGTTTAGCTGCAAAACAAAACAATGTTGAGCACCCTAAAAAGACCGAAGAAGTGTTTTTCTACATGCTAAATGCATCAAGGGACAGTGTGACTTTCCAGATATTGCACTGGGTATCTTACTTGCAAAACTCAAAGAAAATAGTATAAAGCACACAATTCATCTCCTTTAGTCATACAATTAAACTGATTTTCAAATTACTTTTCATTCTAAATCTTGAAAACCAGGATATTGAAAGCAAATCTCATTCCACAATATTGGGTCTGAAGAAACCTTGAAAATCCAAATTTACCCGGACATCCTCAAATATACAGAAATGAATGGTCACTTTAAGGTAAACAGAAATTTTCAAAGAAATTAAAGCGAGACATAACAATTACGAAAGTCTTTCTCTTCTAACGTATTCTTCACTTAGCAGTTATCTTACTCATTCTGGTGATATTCTCAGCCAGTCACTAGGGCCTTGAGACCTTGTACGGTAAAGAGCATATAGGAAGAACTCAGACAGACCCTGGACAACACACATACGCAATTAAGAATTCTAGTGTCAGATCAAACTGACTTGTTATAAATTGAAAGCAACATAATTTCATTGTGCACCATTTCTGCATCGTCTTCCCATTACTTTAAAAAAAGCTTAAAGTACAAAAATAATTAGAACATAACAAAAATGATTACTTACAGGTTTTTGTGGCACAGAAGTCTCATGTCTGGTGACATCGAACTCAAAGCCAAGATGATCTATAGGTATTTTGAAGCGCCTGGCATAATTTTGCAAGACTCCCGTAAGGAAGGAGTGTGTGAAGTAAAATCCAGAAAGCCAGAACAAAGTGGGCGTACCGCCGTTGATCCACTCCTGGAGAGAGAGATTTCAAAATTTGGATTTTATTTTTATTTTTAAACTGCTTTCAATAATTAAATCCAGATTAAATCAGAGACAAGACTTCTTAATTATCATCCATCTTTGAAATGATAGGACAAATATAACAGCTGTCAGTAAAGTAAGGTAAAAATGTTCATTACTGCAAAAAATAATGTCTCTTTTTACATGTTTGTTGATGTGCGAATGGCAGTGCACATTGCATGTTGTTGACAAAATGCCAGCAGTACCATTGAACATATTAAGCATTCACAAAGTCACAAACTTGGTGACCCTCATATTCATAGAGGAATGGTCATAGGTGGAGGCCTACAGAGTCATACCATTTTTACGCAAAGGCCTATGTATGCAAAATGAAGAAATCCCATGGAATTTTCAATGAGCTTGTTGCTCCGTACAGTGAAAATGTAATGACAAAAAGCAAGAGTATCATTAATGCAGTTGAAGAATGCGGAATAAATTAATCTGGAATACAAGTCTCATGTGAAGGGCACCCTCTCATTTCAAAATCAGATGATAGGAAAGAGGGAGCAAATCACACCAAAGCACCCGTCAACCACCTACTAGAAAGAAAAAAACCAGAGAGTGATGTTTGTTTGTTTTTTGTAAAGTGTTTTACGGGGCTCGCAACTGCATAGGTCATATGAGCGCGCGGAACACACCTAATATTTTCAGTTGGTAGGAAATTTTGAATTTTGCCCGGGTGGCGGCCGAAGCCTACTCTTATCGATTTTAGACCACCAAGGGATCTTTAACGTGTGCAACTTGCACACGGGCCCTCCGAGATTTTTCGCCCTTGTCCGAGAAGGCTAGGTGTAGATCTTTCCTACCAGAAGATCAGGGGTGTGGCAGAAAGACAGCAGTAAGGAGGAGCCAAGGAGTAGCAGTAGAAAGGCTGCAGAAAGAGTCAGGAGCCCAGAGGAAGGGGCAAAGGAGGTGAGGGGGTGGGGGCAGAAAGTGGAAATGAAAGCAGACAACAGAACATTGCTAGAGAGCAGGAAAGGAGGTGAAAGGAGACAGTTTTAGAGAAGAAAATTTTTTCGCTCGCTACCCGGATTCGAACCCAGGACCTTTGAATGAGAGGCCAACACCTTAACCTCTAGGCCACGAGAGCCCCCCTAGAGAGTGAGAAAGAAGGTTGATTTAGTAAACATACCTTGAAAAAACTCAGTCTGGCCAGCAGATCAGTGATGTAGCTGCCCAGAGGTTTCAAAGACGGATACGACTTGGCCGCCCACATAGCCGGCACCTAGAGAGACAATGGAGGCTTACAGTACAGTACAGTACAGTACAGTACAGTACAGTACAGTACAGTACAGTACAGTACAGTACAGTGCAGTACAGTGCAGTACAGTACAGTGCAGTGCAGTACAGTACAGTACAGTACAGTGCAGTACAGTACAGTACAGTACAGTACAGTACAGTACAGTACAGTACAGTACAGTACAGTACAGTGCAGTGCAGTACAGTACAGTGCAGTGCAGTACAGTACAGTACAGTGCAGTACAGTACAGTACAGTGCAGTGCAGTACAGTACAGTACAGTACAGTACAGTACAGTACAGTACAGTACAGTACAGTGCAGTACAGTGCAGTACAGTACAGTACAGTGCAGTACAGTACAGCAAGGTTTCTGGAGGCCAACCAAAGCTACATTCACACTACCAAGTCAAACTAAGATGAATAATAATGATAATATTGATAATAATGAAAAGAAGAAGAAGGCGAAGAAGAAGGAGGAGGAGGAGGAGGAGGAGGAGGAGGAGGAGGAGGAGGAGGAGGAGGAGGAGGAGGAGGAGAAGTAGAAGAAGAAAAAGAAAAAGAAGAAGAAGAAGAAGAAGAAGAAGAAGAAGAAGAAGAAGAAGAAGAAGAAGAAGAAGAAGAAGAAGAAGAAGAAGAAGAAGAAGAAGAAGAAGAAGAAGAAGAAGAAGAAGAAGAAGAAGAAGAAGAAGAAGAAGAAGAAGAAGAAGAAGAAGAAGAAAAAGAAGAAGAAGAAGAAGAAGAAGAAGAAGAAGAAGAAGAAGAAGAAGAAGAAGAAGAAGAAGAAGAAGAAGAAGAAGAAGAAGAAGAAGAAGAAGAAGAAGAAGAAGAAGAAGAAGAAGAAGAAGAAGAAGAAGAAGAAGAAGAAGAAGAAGAAGAAGAAGAAGAAGAAGAAGAAGAAGAAGAAGAAAAAGAAGAAGAAAAAGAAGAAGAAGAAGAAGAAGAAGAAGAAGAAGAAGAAGAAGAAGAAGAAGAAGAAGAAGAAGAAGAAGAAGAAGAAGAAGAAGAAGAAGAATTATAACATTAATAATGATGATGATAATAATACAGTGGTGTCCACCTAACAGCAACCCCCCTTTGGTGGTTGCTTAAAACTGTATTTTCAAATTGTGGGTTATCTCCCCCCCCCCCCCCACCACCACACACACACTCAAACACACACAAACAATACTAACACAAACACACACACACACAAACACACACACACACGGTAGACCTACCTTGCCCACCATCATGCTGTCAAAGACGTCCTCAAGCTCACTTGACATGACCACCAAACCTTTGATCGCTTTGCGGATATCCTGAAGGCTTCCCCGCACAACACGGATCAAACGATTGAAGCGGATCAGTTCCTGGATGAGGACTGTGTTCATAGACTCCATGTACATCACTTTGAACTTGGTCTGAGGAAACAGAGAAACAAAATTATGTGTTGTTTTCTAATTAAAATATGAAGTTCAGCTCTCTACTAGAAATTGAGAAGATCGTATTGAAGGTGGTGTGTTTGGTTTCCAGGCAGGACAGTACACAAAGAGGAAAATTTTCCTGGAAGAGCAAGAAAAATTTTGCTCTACTCTTATCAACAATAACTCGTCCATCATTTCTGATGATGACCAATAAATACGCAGAGGAGAATATTTCTCTAGTGAAATAGAAGAGTAAGAAGAATTAAAGGTTAAGATGACTCATGGCTTCTGCTGTGGCCAATGAGATCAATTCTCGCAGAGAAAAGTTTTCCACATTTTGAACATTTGAAAGCTCCACTTCTGCTTGTGGATGAGTGCAGCATGTGGGCTTTTCTCTTGGTTTGGCTTGTGCAAAGGTTTGTTTAAAGTGAGGAAGAGCAGTGCAAATATCAGACTCACTCTCTCGCCTAGGTACAATGTATGTGATGGCAAGATAGATTATTACTCTATTATGGTGTAAACAAAAGAGCATGATTATATTGATACCAAAGAAGCTATGGACAGAAATGTTTCAATGGAAATATCTTAGTGACAGTGCTGGCAAAACACCATACACCCTCTCCTTACCCCTGATTAATGTAACAAGAGATCAGAAAGCAAGAGGCAGTTCAGCTTAACTTTCCTTTGATAAAGTAATGCAGAGATGAACATTGAACAAATGAAGACTGGTGAACTTTGACACTAGAGAAAAAAAGGTGTTGAAGGGCTGAGAAAAAAGCAAAAACTTACTTGAACTTCCTCCAAGTTAAAGTCTTGAGGGATCTTTTGCAGGATGTCATAGGCCAAGTCCTCAATGATCTCCTGGGAAGATTTTCCTCCACCAGATGTCTGTAGAAACAGAACTTATGTTAGCTCCAAAACAAAGACCTATCATCTTCCTCCTATAAAACCTTCCGTAGTTGTATTGCGTCTATAATATATGATGTACGTGACAAGTATACGTATGTTTACAATATTTTCCTACCAATAAACATAAATAAAAATGAAAAAAAAAAACTTTCAACACATACCTTATGTAACTGATTCTCTATAGCTGCGTTGCATTCTTCTTACTAAATTTTCTAATACGTCTCTTTTCTTGACCTCTTGTGATCAAATTACTTATTGCAAGCAGAATTATCTCCTTTGTTATAAGCTACTGAAAAAAAATTGCTGTAAATAAAATCAGATGTGTTACAGACTATCATACAAATATGCATTGCTATCCTGAAGCAGAAAAAAATGACAGAAGCTATGTGGTAATTCGACTATTAAATACATTTGTACCATCATAGAGTTTGTTCATGATTCATGTTCAGCTTCGCATTACTCTAACCATGCAGTCTGACAATTCATTTGTTTTCCTGCAAATTTTACAGAGCATACATGAACAATTTGTCAAAATTTTACTCACTATATTAGATGTCATGTTATAAGGATTAGATCTATTCTTTTAATCGCATGATGAAGAATAAAAAGTAAACATTATGCAAACAAACCTCATCATAGCATGTCCAGTGTGGATCTTCTGTGTGAGGCTTTTATAAAGTTGCTAAAAGTACACTACATAGTTAACAACAAGAACCGCAATTATGACAAAAAATGTGCCCTCAAAATTTTTGGGGTCTTGTTAAGTAACTTAGCCCACAAGAGAAGAATCACACTACGCTCTTTCTCAGAAAAGTAATGTAATTTCAGATGCAGAGAAAGTGTATAATCCATTGAAATATCTAATGACCAACACGATGTATCGTAGAACTCACAAAGGACACATTAAGAATTTCTTGTCTTTTTTGTTTTATTTTAAATGTAGGTGGTTTTTGCCCCCCATTGACGCAGTTTAGATCATTCAGGAGGCGGGCTTCAAGCCTGCCTATCAGAGACTGAGAGGGAAATAAGTCCCAGCAGAAAGACCAAGATACTTGATTTGATAAGAAAATTCTCCCCTCATGAGAATTGAGTTCAGATCTTCTGCATGTGATGGCAAAGCCCCTAACTGCTCCACCACAGACAGCGGTATCTCATCCTCCTGATCTCTCCTGCATAAAGCTCTCCCATTCAAAAAGCATTCTTTTTAGAGCTGCAGTGGTAGTAGTAGTAGGCACTGTTCCGTTAAAGATTAGGGCGTTAGTGCGTTATTGGTCTACGTTTTATATCTTACGCCAACAATGCTTGTGGCTAACTAGGCTATTGCCCACAGCCACAGCAACATTTTACATAAGAGGGATCATTCAATTTTAAAAAAACCAACATAGCCTACATTATTCATAATGACGGTGTAAAGTAAAAAATTTGAATTGTTTCATAAGTTTCTCTACAAAGCTTATTGTTAGTGCCTATAGGGCCATTTTTCTGAGTAGATTCTTGCATCTAATGTCTGTTCAAGGTAAAAATGCTTCTTGTTGAGTCATGATCTCACCTGACTTTGTTTGGCTCTTTCCTGGCAGAAGTGGAACAGTGACACTTGGTGACATTTTATTTACTCTTTTAAAAATATTCTGAGGTATAGGCCTACATACCGTAACTCTTAAATTACTCCAGTCATGCTCTATTTATAATACATTTGATGTGCAAATCCTGAGGTCATACTTGCAGATTTTTCTGCTAAATTTACCAAACCTGATGTGTGCTACCGGCCAGCACGGCCGAAAGGAAGAAAAAAAAACTGGTACCAACCCCCCACCCCCTCAAAAAAAGGGGAAAAAAATCTGCCCTCTGCCAGGATGTTATTCTTATCTTACAACACAACAGTTCGTCGGCCAGCTGTTAAAACATACTAAGCCTCAAATTTTTATTTCTTGAAAATCTGCAGTTTCCTCATCTGTGTTATCTGTTGAATGTAGGCCTACTTAAGAAAATTGTTTTCCAAATTCTAATTCTGAAGGTAAAAAAAGCAAGGAAAAATACGTAATATAGGTGCAATTGTTACAAGAACGAAACAGTTTTTTCTCTCTCTCCATCAAGGTTTTGCTTTTTGGGCTTATTACATTTTAACAGCTTACCAACAATTGATACATAGAGCACACAATCAGAATGTAAAGATGTAATCATTGGTTGCTTTATGACAAGACAGTGCAGCAGGTGCTCACAGTCACACAGGTGTGACTCGCATAACGGACAAAAAACACATGTTACAATAGGGTGCGTTCTTCTCACAAAAACAAGTGTGACCAGCAGCCACAGTGATTGTCTTTTTGTGCATATGTTCTTTGTCACATTATGGGTGTATATATGCATTTGAAAGAACTGATGCACATTGAATGGGCCAGTATGCTTGAAACGTTGATTTAAATCTTATTTTATGGTGAAGCGCCTAGAGCCACTATTGGGAGTGGGTGCTATAGAAGTGATCTTTATTATTATTTATTATAATTATTAGCTCAGTTTGTATCAAGCTGGACAGTGGTGATGGTAGTCCTGGTATAAATCCTCAAGAATGCATTCTCTACCATGGCTGGTCTTACGAGAGATCAATAAACAGGAGCAGAAGGTTGCACCCTTTAAAAAGAACCTTAGAGTGTTGAAAAACATTTTTAAAGACGGCATATCATGTTCTATCGCACACTCTGATACAGAAATAAAACATCACTTTTACATGTGAGTTATTATACTCAGCTAGGTACCCAGTGTATTTATTCATGTAGAGGTGCTAACGTAAGCACTGTTGTTTTATCATTCATGTTTTACACCCCCGTCAAGACAATTTCGGCTGTTGAGCAGATGACCTGCTTCAACCTTGACTGTCAGGATCAATGTGGGCTGAGAAAAGTACACCATTCCATGAGAAAGACAGAGATACTCAATACAATAAACTTCCCTAAGCTATAATTAAACTCATTAACATGCATAAACATAGGTGATCAATGAGATCAAAGGTGAGATGTCAGATATAAACCACAATTCACATGGTATGACTATACCAATGACCAGAACAAGGTGCAGAGCTCAGAATAGTTATGTGTTTCATGTATACACACAGCCAAATATCCGTTGTGTAGGAAATACTCTCCATGTTACATTCAATCAAGATTTTGCCCTGTCAGCAGTTCATGGTGTAAACATTGAAGTATGATACCGAGTCAAACAACAAACACAAGCACACAAACACACTCAGTTTGTCAAGCAATCACACATACCAAATCCTGTAACAAATAGAGGAAAGTCAAAGAAATTGAATGAACTATATGAAAAACAAAATAAAATCAAATAATTCTTATGAAGATGAATTAATTATGAAACTAGTTGAGTGCAATCTTGAGGCACACGACACCATCATTGTCAAATAAAACCAATTCCAAACCTGAGGATACCCAAAAGCCCTTTTATAGCTGTTTTGGTATGAATCAAAACTTCAAAAAATTGTGTCAGCCGGTCATAAGCAGTTAATCCCATTATTCACTCTCTTCATAGTTAGTTATAGTAGAGGGTTTTACGGCGCTCGCAACTGCATAAGGTCATATGAGCGCCAATATTCTCTCAATTCTCACATGCATGGTTATAAGTTTGAGTGAAACAATCGTAATCATGCATAAATACACTAATAAGTATATATATACAGCCGAAATTGTCCAAGATGCCCACCCAATGTTGAGGAGAAAACTAGTGGACAGCTTAGACAGTGTCATTATAACACGTATATTTTAAAAAATACAAAGGAGAAGTGGCCATTTGTACAGAAGATTGTCTTGGACAAGTGGCTGTTAGAGCAGGTCTGACTGTAATTTATACAATGCCCGTTTCTTATTCTCCATACATCAACCCCCCATCTTCTTACCCAAATCCCCAAATCTCTACTAAACTACTCAAAGGCCGTTCAATTCTAATGGAGCAGCTCAGGGCTCATCATTTTTAACAAAAATGTACCCTCAGCTTGATCATTTTCACACCCATGTCCTTTTCATCAAAGTCCCCACAGGCAACAACATCAATGCTACAACCATTCACACTGTCACTGTAATCTTCATGAATAGTATAAAATTCTTCCTCCCAAAGACAATATGCACCATCCAGTAATGCCTTCTGAGGGGTCGTAAAGGGCACTGCCACATATGAGTTGCTTTAAGAATGTTTTCCATTATTATGTGATCCACATTATTTATCAGGTGTGATTGTCTAAACGCTAAACAGACAGTCCGGGTCCACAATATAATTTTCTGTGACGGACAATACTAAATAATTTGTCACAGTGAAGGAAGCCAAAAGTGAACAAATATCTATCTACTTAAAGATGGTCCATCCTCCGAGCATTCCAAACTGAAATGAATCGGACAATTAAAGCCAATACCTCAATTTCATCAGGTGCCTGGTATATAAAAGGCGGATGAGGGGAAAAGAAATAAAGAATCTCAGAGTTTTAGTACATGGAACAAAGCTTAACATGACTTGAAATTCTGTCCATCATTGGTATAGACCAGGACAACTAAACAATTCAGAGGGAGCATTAAGTTTTTCCCAGATTTCAACTGGCACCCAAAGGGCTCATGATGAATGAATGCTTTAGGCTTCATAAAATCTTCCAAACTGGAGTGATAGATACCATTGACATTATGGGAAAACAGTTAAGAGAAGAATCAAGTGTAAACCAAGTGTCTGAGTCAACTAAATAAAGTTTAGTCAAAGTATTTTTGTACTGAAGGGCACAAATCACCCAAAGTTTTGTTTCAAGAGCAGAGCTTAAAAGAGAGAAAAGTACCCGTACCATGTGCTACGGTGGGCACTATTTTTTGGCCTCTGTGAGAGCGAAATACAATCAACACTAATAAAAGATAAAGATACATATGAATTATTCAATAAAATATATCTACATAGACATTAATATACAACTGTTCAGAATCTTCCTCAAGGCAGCTTTGGTCCACAATCCAAAAGAGCCAAACCTCTTTTATAACCACTCAAAGTTGATTCTTGGCAATGAAACATTAAAAGTTTTTAAAAAGAAAATCAGGAGAAAACCCATCCACATATAGTAGATAGTGTATGTCAACTCACTTGTCGAGGCAGAGTGAGCAGGATTCCATCAAACAACTGCTGGGTCTCCTGCTGATCCTTTGTGATGTCAGCGTTCTCATGAAGACCAAACACCTGTGTGGATGCAAGGGTAGAATTTGAAAAATCTTATGCTTAAAAGAACAAACTGATGCCAAGATCAATAGAGATATAATACCTATGCTGCAAGCAATTAGAGTAATTTTTTAGAAAACTTTCACACTTTTTCAGTTTTTAGTAAAGTCTACACATTTTCACAACAGCAAAGCTTTGATTCCACTTGCATTAATAATCTATTTTATTTATTAGATTCTAGTTATTTAGATTGAGAGTTTTAAGCATTACAATGGTGTAATTTCACCCTACAATGACTGCTCTCCAAGAGGCTTTTGAAACATGATTAAGTATAGAAAAATCTTGGAATAAACATTTTTTTTCTTTTCCAGCAAAAGGCGTGCTATTTTTGGTTACGCGGACTTCTTGAAACACTGATGATATGTCATAAAATCACAAAAGGAATAAATACAGAAGACACATTTGCCATTGATCAGAATATGGCAGCCCTGAATAACTGACTGGCTATTTGTAATTATTTCATCTATGAAAGATTGTAGGGGTAACAAATACATTTATAAAAATCTTATGAAATTATAGTAAAATCAAATGTACCATGATGGTCTGGGATCTGTAAAATTGTCTTAAGAAAAAAATTGATAAAAAGTCTGGATTATCCTATATTGTCAAAGATCCTCAAACTAATGAAAATGTGGCTCTCTTAGGGTAACTTTGAGGACAAAAAACCAAAAAAAAACCCAACCAAAACAACAAAAAATGAAACAACTCGGGAATAAATTACCTCTGGGTGCGGTACGAGCGGCAGACTCCGAATGTATTCTACATAGTCATCGTACTTGCCCTTGGGAGGAGCATAGTACACACCGCTGTCTGAGAATCTGTAAGAGTCATCATCGATGGTCTCTGTTGCGTAAAAAATCTTCAAGAGGGAGAGAATGAGACGACGATCGAGGTCGTCCGTGACTCGGCCTCCGTAGTTGCACTCCCCAGTGAGGTAGGTCAAGGCTTCTAGAGGTGTTTTCTCGTAATTGTTGATGAACATCTGGAGCGTGATTGAAAAATTGACATGATATGGGTTACTGTCTAGATGTTGGTAAGTTGCATGATGCATGGTGTAAAATGAATATTACAGTTGATCAAGATGAAGAAAATCTCTCTCTCTCTCTCTCTCCCTCTCACACACACACACACACATACACACACACACACACACACACACACACACACATTACACATACACATGCATGCACACTCACATACACATCTACTAGAGTTGGGTCGGGCTCGCAAAATTAGTGTCCACGAGTAACGAACTACTCGCTGGCACTAAACGCAAACGAGCGGACAGGTAATGAACTGTCAGCTTGTGAAGAGTAGTTCGCTACTCGCTACTCATCAGACAGAGACAACAGTTCGTATAGCAAGCGAGCGGACGGGCGGACGGAGAGACTCCATGCATTGAGCGGGCGGACGGACGGACGGGGAGCGACTCCTTCCACGGCATACTGCTTACAACCCCCCCCCCCTCCCATAAAAAAAATTAATTTAAAAATCACCCTCTAGCCCCACATTGTAGCTAGGCGTTCATGGCGGATATTTCTCCCCCGCCAGGCCTTTGCGATAATTGAAACGTACACAGTGTGACCCACACATGAGGTCAAAGGTTACACACATAGCACTACGTTACCGGCCTCTCTCATTCCCTGTGGCACCGCTAGCGGTTTGAAACATTAGGCCTAGGCTAATTAACAAACAATAGACAATGGGCCTAACCTCGCGTCGAGTATCTCGTCTGCTAGAGTTCGTTCGTTCGCCCGCCCACTCAGTGAATAAAATTGTGGAGCGGACCCAAAAAAATGAACTGACTTGAGGCTTGAGGTCCGCAGTCCGCTCGCTGAGAGAGTAAAATTGTGGAGCGGACCCAAAAAACGAACTGCCTTAGGTTCGCAGTCAGTTCGCATGGCCATCCGTTACCCACTCGCTCAGACTGAGTCCGCGAGTAACGAACCCGTCCATCCGCTTGCCCCAACTCTAACATCTACCCAAACACACACACACACACATAGAGAGAGAACAATATAAAATGGGTGTACAGTTCCAATATAACAATTATGATACCCATGTGGTAACACTATTACTGTTAACAATTATTGCTCATTTACACTATACGTTTGACCAGATGTGTGTGGAAGAGAGGATGTGTAAGAGCGTGTGCATGTGGATGTGCATACGTGCATGCGTGCACGTGCGAACGCACGTGTGTATGTGTGTGTGTCTGTTTGTGAGTGTGTGTGTAATTGTGTATAAATATGTATGCGTGTGTGTGTATGTGTGGATGGTGAAACACCTAACCAATGTGCCAGCATTTGGACAAATCTTTTCTTCTCTATTTTATCTTATCTATCTTAGCTTAGCTTACCTTATCTTAGTTTAGCTTATATCAATTTATCTATATCATATGAAACAATGGCATCTCTATACAACCCACCTGCAATTGCTGTACAGACACTCTCAAGTCAGACTCGTTGAACTCATAAGGAATGTTCCACCCTAAAGGTCCAAACTTTCTCCTTTCCTGCACTAAAGCATGGAAAAAGCACAGGCCAAAGAGAAGTTTCTCAAAAACCTGGCAAAGCAAATACAAAAAAACAACCCAGTGAGGATAATGTGCAAAGACAGTTTCACCCTTTCTTCAGCATGGTGAAATGAAGCTGCTATTGTGGAGGAATATGCTGTGAATTCTACCTGAATAACACTTTGGTTTGAAGGTATTAGTTCAAGTTCATCCAAGGAGAAAAAAAATCTAATTCTTCTGAGTTTTGGAAGCTTACAGACTTTGTGCTAAAACAGACTTGGCTTCTTCCTTGAAAATCCCTAATTCTTGGGGAACAATAATTTAAGGATGTATTTACAGTCTTATAACTTATAACAGAGGGGGTGCAAATTTTTTTGGGAAATATGTAATATTTGGGTATTTTATCCCATGTTGGAAGTTCTGTGCAAAACTGCAATATGAAACTGCTTTGTCTCTGCAAAGATTTGGCACAGCAAAACTGGAAAAAAAATGTGACATTACTAAACAGAGCTGAAAAAGGGAACGAACTACAGTTTACAACAGTTAATACTTTCAACATAGTTCCAACCATTTCCCAAGGTGTAAAATTAAAGCAACATCTGAAAGAAACTTTTGTTTAAACTGGAGTTCTAAAATGCTTTCAAAAGGGAAGTAACTTTTGCACTACCCTTTGAAATGATTGGTCTTAAATACCTTAGGTTTGTTGCAGCTTGTAAAGAAATCTGGGTTGGAGATTGGGTCATTGAGGTAGGAGCGTAAAAGATTTGCTCGTAGCCCTTTGGGAGGCTCATTTGTCATTTTCACACCATTTTGCAGCACAGACACTGGGAACTCTGGAGATGGATAACTGGTGAGCCACAGTCGGAAAGTGTCCTTGGTGGTGTTGGGGTCCGTGATTACCTGGGGGGAGAGACACACAGATCAGGTAGGCCTACTTAACATATATGATGCATCGAGGAGAAATCAGGTGCATGTCAAAATTATGAAATAGAAGAAAATGATATTTTTTTCACCCATTTGGCAACTTATACTGATTTTTTTGTTTTGGGCTTTAAATTTTTTATGTCCATTAAAAAACACATTTCTCTTTTTATTTTACTGAAAAATGTAGATCAAAGGAACAATAAATGTAAATTTATCATTTTCAAGGCCACTACAGCTTTGGAAGTCACCACACTTTGACGGCCATTTTCTCGCTAATTTTACCTTGACACCACCTCTTTCAATCACAAATATCTTGACTTCTATTAAAGATAGATAGATTTAGTTTTCACCAAAAGCAGGGCAAATGAACAGGCTTTCTGATTATACTAATAGTTTCATAGGTCTATTCCCAAAAATTGACCGGCGCCAGATTTCACAGATTTATGATACATATTAAAATATAAAAATGAATAAAATAAAAGCACATTTGAACCTGTCCAAGATGACCCCCAATTGTCCTGGAGAAAAGTTGTCATCTTAAAAGGTGGTCCTCTAGGACAGTGCTATCATAATATTTTTAAAATGCAAGGGGGACATGGGAAGTGGTCATTTGTAGCATACAGGAGATTGTCTTTAGAACAGCTTCAACTACATTTCATAGTTCCTGCCTCCTCCACCAAAAAAATCTATTAACGTCCGTCGGTGCGTATCTCGATCACAGAACAAACATTGTCCTAGAAAAGCCAAAGATACATATAAATGGATTAACTGAGAAAAAATACTACACCTGGATCTTGCTCTCATTCAAATAAAGACATTTTGAATTTATCTGCGGTCCTGAAACACATTTACTGACTACTTGTTAAGCAAGTTTTACTCCATTTATTTGTATACTCAGAACTAAAGGCCCTTAAGACTCAAGTCTGTAAATGTGCCAATCATCGCTTCTTTCTTTGTCATAGACACAAGTCATATTGGGCTCCGCGAATAAGAAACTCAAATTCTGAAATCAAGACAGAAGCCTGCAGGCTGCACATATCCACAAGTGGAAGTGGAGCTTTTGAATGCTCAAAATATGGCAAACTTTTCTCTGTCACAGTTAGTCTCATTGGCCATAGCGGAAGCGACAAGTCATCTTAACCGTTCATTCCTTTATTTCATGTAAGAAATATCCTGCTCTGTGGATGAATTGGTCATCTTCAAACACTGACGAACAAACTAATCATTATCATTATTATCATCATTATTGAATCAGTATTATTATTATTGTTACTTTCTTTGTCATAAACACAACCATTGTGTAAAATACTCACAGTCTCACAGATCCTCTCCAGCTCTGGTAGCCAGGAGGCAGCCAGATGACAATTCTGCAGGACGACCCATGTGCCTGCCTCCACAGCCTATTCATGGGAGGACCAGGGAGGAGGGATGAAAGAAAAAATACATGTACTGTGTATCAAGTAGTGAGTTTAGGTTTCAAACTGTATAACAGCTGTGTACTATCCCAACTCCTATATGGATCTGGATGCTGAAGGATGACTGATCATGATCTTGCCAAGCTATCTTCTTTTCATACAACCAGTTTACGCCAAATCCTCCGAATCTTCTGACCTGATAAGATTTCCAATGCAGATCTTTTACGGAAATGTAGGCAAGAGGACATGACCACTATAATAACAAGGAGAAGATGGAGATGGATCGGGCATGTTCTGAGAAGAGAACCAGACTCTATTGTAAAGACTGCCCTCCACTGGACACCTGAAGGACAAGAGGGGCAGACCCAAAGTGACCTGGAGACGCACGGTAGAGTCTGAAATGAAGTCCTGGAACCATTCGTGGGGGACGTTGACCAAGATGGCCCAAAACAAACAGAGCTGGAGATCCTTTGTTGCTGCCCTAAACGCCAGATGGTGTAACGGGTAGTAAGTAAGTAAGTAGTGTTTTAAGTAACTGAATGCTCAAACAAGAACAGCTGATAAAAAGTTTCCTATCAGGAGTTGGTGGGATGGCTCTAATCGCAGGGTAAAGATAATAAAAATAATGATAACAATAATCGTAACAAAAGTATGATGATGATGATGTTCAGCTCTCAAAACACAAACACACACACATACACACACACACACACACACACACATGCGTGCGCAAACACACCTACACACAACTCCCTGACCCACACACATTCTCACATACTAAATTTACTGGCAGAGGAGAGTGTTTGACAAATGTGTCTTTAGACTTTTCTGAAGCTCTCTCTCTCTCTATGACATAGTATGCATATCAGATGCTTGGTTATAAGATCATTGGTTAGATTCCAAGCATATCAATGTACTAGGAAGTTGTCCATCACATTTTCTCTAATTCATTTAGCTGAAAATGGATACTTGAAATTCACCAAACTTAGAAATATGGGAATGATACTCAGTAATAGCATTTGAAGGTCTGTAACAGACTGCCATGAAATGTGTACTCAAGGGCATGGGATGTCAGAATTTGGCGTTGGTGGCCTTGAGGTTAGGCGCTCAGACTCGCAACCATAAGGACGTGGGTTCGAATCCCGTCAGCGACCCGAGGTTGTGTTCTTGGGAAAGGCACTTTACACGAATTTTCCTAACTACACCCAGGTGGGAATGGGTACCCAGCTATAGACAGTGCAAGATCTTGTCTGTTATTGTTTGAACACTTAGTCAGCTGTTTGCACTGTATGCTTCCCAGGAAGCTGAGAATGCTTCTCAATGTTCTATGGTCTGCTAGGGTAATAATATATAGTGTAAAGAGCATAGAGCTCGCTGTTGAGCAGGGTTATGCGCTATACAAATGCTATTTATTATAATTATTATTACGTTAAATTTGGAATTTCCTGTCCGGAGAGCCTTTAGTCAAAAGGGACACAAGACAATGTAACAATCACTTTGGGTTCAAGACAGATGTTGTTCAACACTCATTGGAGTCTTCTGCTAGTATGGACTTTTGAGTATCTCTTTAGTTGATTTAATGGGTAGTTTTCAAAAAGCAGCAAATAGACTTCAGAATGAATTTTTTTACACTTGATCATGATCTTACATACACAGCTTTCTCCCTTTCCTGTGTAATGCTATACCTTTTTCCAGACTCACATTGAAACCAAAAGGACACTATTATTCTCATACTAGGAACATGTTAAACCCTGGAAAATATTGAATAAACTCATTAATCTAGTGAACCCAGTTCACAACAATTTTACACAAAGAAGTTATAATCTAAGCATTTCTATCACAACTCAATTACTGAAAAATAATGTTCAAATTGGGACATTTTTTAAACTATAAAAAAGGAGCAAAAAAATGGTTTTCTTCACACAAATTAAAAAATCATTTACAAGAAAGGCAAATCTCAACTGACTTACATCCATCACCATTCTCTCCGCAATAGGCCCTTGTCCTTGACCAAGGGAAATAGTCTGCAGCTTGCTTTTGCTCGTGCCTGGATTGGAGTAAAAATGTAAAAAAAAAATGCTGATGCACTGAATTCTTTTCAATCTTAACCTTCAAATGAGTAACTCATTGGTGTCACACGGTAGGCATGTTGTCAGTCTTTACCTTCCCAGTACCAAGAGTTCATGTCAAAACCTGAAGTGACATGTTAGCTAATCGGATGATGCAAAATCTGTGTTCGTTTATAAGCAATGTGAAGTATTTTCTGTTTCAAATTGGACTAAAGCAAAAAGAGAAAAAAAAACAACTACTAATATAGATTATGGTGGAGGCTCGACAAAGCTCTTTCTAAAAAAATGTACAGATTAGTGTCAAAAGTTTTTACAAAGCAAAACTATTTCGACAGTTATGAGACACAACAGACACAAATCTTCAAAGGTGTGGATAAGCACACATACTATTATTATGTATAGCTGATTGTATGCTAAAAAAACCCAAGTATGTGTGTGTGTGTGTGTGTGAGTGTGTGTGCGTGTGTGCGTATGAGTGTGTGTGTGTGTGTGTGTGTGTGTATATGCGTATGTGTGTGTGTATGTGTATGTGTGTGTATGTGTGTGTGTATTTGTGTGTCTGTGTGTGTGTGTGTGTGTTTGCCTGTGTGTTTGTGTTTTGTGTGTATGCATGTGCACACAAACAAGTTTTTGACAAATAAATCCTTGCCCTGTGACAGCACCATGAGTTAATGTCCACAATGTGCAATAATTTTTTTACACACCAGGCAGTCAGTATAAACTCATAAGCAAAAAAAAACCCCCCAAAAAAACAAACTTTTAAACATTCAAAAAAAAAAAAAAAGAAAAGAAAATCCATCAAAAGAACTGCATAAATAAACAATGCCAAACCAAAAGTGATTACATTTGTTTACTACTTCTACTAGCTTAAGTGAGGCACATGAGCAAAAAAATTAAAAAATTAATAAATCACCTTTACCACATGAAGCAGTTGACAAGAAATCCAGCCAACAAACAAAAACAAACAAGTTTTTCCAAGCAAAATAGATAGGCTTACAGTATGACTCCCAAGCAACAAGCAACATTCAACCTGCAAATTTGCCAGGCTTAAAAGAGAAAATGATGCTCACAAGTAGCCACACCCAAAAGCTGACAACAGCAAGTGAAGACTGTAGCATTCACACTAAAAGATGTAACATTTGAGAAGACCGAGGACATCACAAAAATTCAACTGATTTTATGAATAATGAATCTTTAAAAAATAAAGGCATAAAAAGGTTTGTTTGGAAACCATGACTATCATGAAAAAAAAACCCCCTACATTTTATTGCAAACTGACATCTATTACAATATTCATTCCAGGCACGGACTATTGTTTTGTATAAATGTTTCTTCAAAGAACTGCGCTTACCTATGTAGGCTGAAAGTGGGATGTTTTCTTTAAAATTTCATCTTTTTCTCTTTTCTTCCTTCTAATGCACTATGGGGGCCAAGAGCTATCTGTCTTTGAAATGACTAGACATTATTTTCATCTGGTAGAACATTATACTCATAACAGAAACCTGTTTCAATATGCACAATGTCATACTCCATAAAAGATTTGTTTTCAACTAAAGATTTGAAATGATGATACTCAAAAACACCAAAGATGAAAGCAAGTGCGCTTGATTGATTGGTTGATCGATTGATGGATTGAGTAGGTGTTTTACGGCACTATTGACACAGTTTTGGTCATGTAGGCGCCTAAAACATATGCATAGTCACAAGCCTATTTATTTATGAAAAGGATGGGCAAATTCTTCATATATAGTAAAAATGTAACTTTACATATATTCTCAATGTTAATACAAGTGTATAAATATTTACCAAATTCTATATTTTTGTATTTTTGTGAACAAGTCAATTTCATTTATAAAATTTAGAAACGTCTTTGGGTCGACAAAGTGGAAAAGGATAACATTCTTACATTTAAAATATTTAAGACAAGCATGGCTAAAGTTGAAACATTTTACTGGAAAAGGCCCAACAGTGAAATAGGCGTTGCATGCCACGCAAAAAGAAAAGCAAGAGAGCATCAGGACCAGCAAAAATAATCTCAATAAAAAAAGATAAAAAAAGACCCTATAGACATTCATCATGCTTATTTAGTGAAGGAATGAGTTTCTACAGCTGTGACTGCTCTTATCAAACTAACATGTATCCGAGGAAAGAAGGGATGAGGGAAGTGATGCTCATTTACATGGGAAGAGAGGGACGGGCAAGGGTGGGGTGGGGTGGGTGGGGTGATGATTTCAGAAAAGCACAGGTCATTGTGATTTCTTTCACCCACGCATTTTTTTGACAATCAGCACTCCATACCATAAAACTTAGCAATGGCAGACAACGGGTCCAAATGAAGAGGCTCTGAAGATCAAATAAGATTTTTAAAAGCCCATACCAACAGTCACCTTATCCAATTGATAATAAATCTGTAAAATGTCAGGTGTTCATTAAATACAAATGTCATGATACGTTCTGTGACAATTTTCCAAGACAAAATGTGATTGCTAATTTGAAGACTATGCGTAACAAATGTAGGTAAATATATATATTTATGGTTCTTTTCTGGGGTTTTTTTAAAGTTCTGGTCCATAAAAACTGTAAGGATGTTCCTTCGTGAACAAGAATAAAAAGGCTTATTTCAGAATAGGAGCTAAATTTTTTAAGAAAATAAAAATCTAGCTAAAGGATAGGTTTTATGGAAATACAATCGAACCTGCTCTAACAGCCACCTGTCCAAGACAATAAGCTAATATGATTACTTCCTAATTCCCTCTTACGTTTTTTTTCTCATAATGACTGCCTCAGACGCCCACCCATCTAAGAAAACTACTTTTCTACTTGACAGTGGGTGGCTTTCTTTGGACAATTTCGCCTGTATATATATGTAGGCCTACTTTTAGAGCAGCAATGGTAGAAGACATGATATTCTTATTTGCATGCATGCATGGAGGCAGAACGTTGTTCTTCACTGGGGAGATAGAAGTTACATTAAGTTACTAAAAGTAAAAGGCTGGACAACAGAATAAATTGTTACATACAAAAGCAAAAGGTTAGTCATCAATAAAATGTCAGAAATACCTTCCAAAATATAGCCACAATAATAAAAACCAAAGCAAGAATAAGGGAAAAAAAAAATGGATCCCATCACAGCGAGATTAAATATTGCTCCAATACGCTACAAGCCGGAGAAAAATGGCAATAAAACCAAGGGATTCCCAAAGTGCACTGGACATACGCGCCAGGATTTCTGCTGGATTTATCTCCCCTATTACGCTCATCTTCCTGCGATCCTCTGCCGATTTCTCAGGGTCAGGCCTGGATGCTGCACCCGGGGTGGGTAGCATGCCTAGTGCAAAGAAAATCAGCATAAGAAGAGTACTTTGGACAAGACATTCAGTCCTAAATACAGACGGTTCGGGATGCATGAGAGGTTGAGGAATACGCCTGTACCATAAATCTGAGGGAAAACACTGGGCTGTTAGTAATTACATACCTGTGTAGCTGTTCTTGAAAGACCCACGGGCTTGGACTGAACTCTTACTTACAATTACAACAGAAGTTGGAAAAGAACAGGAGAACACTCACAAGAAAGGCTACTTACCCAATCTATCAGTTTCAACCATACCCCAAGAACTAATAAGCTAAAAAAGAGAGTCCCTATCTGAATGTTGCCACATGTACAAAGAAAACGACATCAACAAAAACAAAAACAGACAATATTTAGAAACTTCAGATTAAAAAACCCAAAGCTACAATTACCATACTAAAGCAACTAGAACTTTTACAAAGAGGTACCTTCAGAAATTGAAACGATACCCAAGAAAGAATATTTACAACAGAGAACTACGTTCCTAGAAAACAAGACATTCCAAAAAATTAACTCACTTACCGGTACCAGCAAAAAAGTCCTCACAAACTATAGTGACAAACAAAACTACAATTACGATACAAAAGCTACTTAGACGTTTACAATAAATACTTTCAGAAATTGAAACGACACCCAGGAATGAATATTTACAACAGAGAATTACCTTTGAAGAAGACAGGATAGATAAACAAATTAACCAACTTACCGGTAGCAAAAATATCCTCACAAACTGAAGTGACAAACACATACAAAATCACACCTGAACAAACTGTCCTTCATAAACTGAAGAGACACAAGGTCTTTTTCATTTTCACTGGAAACTGTACATACTTTCATTCAAAAAGGAATATAAGCCCATAATCTGATTATGAACTACTTAAAATATAATGAAGTGCAGAAAAATTGCATTGAGTGTGTAAAGAGTGAAAGAAAAGCGTGTAACGGGTATCTAGTGAATAGCATAGATTACATGAATGACTACAAAACGTCTATGAACTGTGGATACAGTTAATATATAAAAAATATATTAAGTAGTGTGCAGAAAGCAGTATTTGCTGTTGATTAAATTTTCTATTTAAAACCTCAGGACCCGATCCTAAATAACCATTTAGTAAGCATTTTACGGCACTTGCAACACAGTTAGGTTATATAAGTGCCAAAGATTAGAGGTGTCACAAGAGAGTAACAAACACAAAAAGAAGGAGTAGAGATAAGGATGATAGATATGTTTGATAGGAAAGAAGGACCAAAACACACAAGAGCACCTGCAAACCACCCACTAACCTTCAGCTTATGTACGGCTATCTTTCCTTTTAAGAGGCCTCAGCTCATGTCTTTAAAGCCTTATATAAGACCTCACACTTGTTTTATGTGATTTGTATCTATGTCTAGATTTCAGGTTGCTTCAGTTTATCCATGAGTTGTAGTAAAAGTAAGTATTTGTCACTAGTTTCAAAAGATGACACAGAATAGACCCCACTATTTCATCGCTAAAATCACAAGTGATTTGGTGGCCTTGATCTCACATTGACAAGTCTTTTCTGATACAAGGCAGGAAACGTTTCAGAAACCAACTCAGCACATCATAATCCAAAAATATTTCTTTTGTGGAAAATGACAAATCAGCTAAAGACATAAAGTCAACAAGATGGCTGACAAAAGGACCTCGGACACATCACTTATTATTATAACCCTTAAGCCACACTCAAGTCATACCTTAGTCACACGCTCATGCAACACTCATGTAACATTCATGACTACTTATGGACCATTCATACGCACTCATGCACGCATAAACCCTCGATTCACACTCGTACAACTTAAATGGATACTCATACAATATTCATGCACGCTCATGCATTATTCATGCACACTCATGCATTATTCATGCACTCATACATGTGCATGCAACACTTAAGCCACTACCAGACAAGTTGAAAGTCATAAGTTTAAAAAAATTATCTTAAAAGGTACCCACACAGTTGTTTTTTTCTTTGTGGGTCTTTTTTTTAATAAACAATGTTTACTCTACAAGAGAGCGCACCAGTTGGTATCATGCTGGACTAAGGAGTTGATGGCCCTGGTTCGAATCCCCAAAGGGGCATTCTAAGCTTGGGTTTTCTTGGGGAGTTTTTAAGGCTCTCCGCCGAATTTTACTAAGTCCTAACACGTTAAATTCAGACGTCCCCCCTCTCTTAAACAATCATACAGTGTTGAAAGGGGTGTTAAATCTTGACAATGAACGATGAACTCTTTGAGACCTGGGACTATTGATGAGCAAAAACAATTTTAAAGCTTAACACCGCAGTCACTGATCCAGAACCTTTCCAGACTGTTGTAAGTAAAATTCACAAAACAGGACCAGAGATAGCATATTATATTGAGGAAATACATTTGGACCACAATGTTCAAAAGCTACTGTTTATGTGTACTTCCCCTTGAAAGAGGCTTTCTAACAGTGCAATACCTGTTTCATAAAAAGTTCTTTTTTTTAAATGTAGGTATTTTTTACGCCCCCATCAACACGATTTAGATCATTTACAGGGTGGTCTCCCAATCCTGCTTGTAAAGGCCGACCTGGGCTGAGAAGGATACAACATCTTAGTAGAAAGACCCGGATACTCAATAAAAATGTTCTCCTCACTCGGGAATCAAACTCGAGTTTTCTGAGTGCAACAGTGAAGCGCTTAACTGCTACACAACAGACGCCGGTATGAAATAGTTAAGGGCCTCTTAGAAAACAAATTGCAAAGTGTAGCATCTGCATCAAACACAAAGTGTCATTGCATGTTAATTCCATTGGTCACAGATCTTGTCTCTTCACTTTTTAGAGAATATTTGATTTTCTTGTTAACACCTGCCAGTGAATATTTGTTGACAATAATTTGGCTCATTTTGAACCTCAAAGTTTTAAATTTTGTTTACAACTTAGATAAACGTTTTTCAGTGAAAATCCACACAGAAATGTGTTTTCAAATGGACATAAAAAGTGCTGAGTCAAAAAATAAAAAGATAAAAATTGCCAAGCCAGCTGAAAAAATGTTGGTTTCTTCCTTTTCATCATAATTTTGACTAGTGCCAGATTTCACCACTATGCCACACATATACATTCCTGCCCAAACGGGAATCCATGGGTGGTAACTTTGTTTTGCCTAATAGTCACTCATAACCATGACAAGATGTGAGCTGACCACCAAGCAATGATGAATACGGCAAATGCGATGCTGTATATCACGAGATGCTGAAGGATACTGATACTTACTAAATAACAAGTGTAAACTTGCCGGTAGAAATTAATATAAAATTATTAGTATTAGTAATGCTGCAGGGGCATGTCCTTATAAGTATTTGTAATGCTGCAGGGGCATGTCCTTTTGCAAGTGGTGCAGATTTACAAAATTAAATTTTGGTTCAAAAGCTGTTGAGAAAATATTGGGTTTCATCGTTTTGTCTCAACCAAAACATAAAATGCTCGTACTGTATGTCAAATATCTAGAAAGACAAAGTGAGGACAAGGAGCCATTGGTAAAGAAAAGAAAAGACATTCAAAGTATCCGTGAAAGCAAAGGAAACTTATAAAGATGCAGTATATCATAAAATTACCCTCTAATCTTGAAAATTAATCCCAGACAATCCAATAATTGCTTTAAAATTTAAATAATCCGACTGATATTGACTGAGCTATAATTTTAAGTTCCAAGAACTTAAAGAATGAAGAATGTCTTCTTTTCGTCATTCATCTCTAAGACGTGACATGACAGAGAATTTACAGAAAAAAAATAATCACAAAAATCATACCGACAGGAAAACAAATGTTGATTTTAAGTAGCCATTCAAGTGGATGTGCAGTAAATTCTAACCAGCATAACAAAATACAAGGTCAACTCAAGAAACAACAACCCCCCCCCCCACATTAGCCTGCAATATCTGCTTTGAATGGAACAGAGCAACCACGCTGCTCATCATGTAGCACTGATCACAACAACTGCATAAAAGATAATGAGGAATATGGGTTTATAATTTTGACTTCGATTCATTATTCAAACAAGGAAAAAAAAGATGGCAACAACTCATATCCCATTTCAAATACAAGTCAATGCCAACAACAGTGTTTACACCGCCCTTGTCATCTTGTTCACTTTCTCACTGTTCTAGTCTCGTATTTCAAATGGTTAAAGAACATGAGTTGTAATAACATAACTACAAAATTTATTCTTTACCCTCGACTTTGGGTCATCTTGTTTTTTAAATTCAATGCTAACCACAAAATGATGAGTATCATCATGGGCACAATTACTAAGCTACTCATTTAATTCTACTCTACGTAGCAGCTATGTATAGCATTAATTCACGCAAGTTCTCTGTGTACTAATGTAAAATAAAAACTCTCTCTTAGCCAAAAGAAAAAAATATTATTTTCACTGCAAAATAAACACACTCTCACACAAAAGACAAACACTTTCCACCAGTAGTTTCTTTCCATCTCGTTTTTCTTCTGCACTAAATGATCGTTATTGAGTTGAAATAATTCTTTCTACCCAAACAGTCAAAGACAAATAGCAGAAGACCCACCTTTCTCTTCAGCAAATCTATAAAGTCCTGCCATTGGGTCAGCACCAGGGGACAGGACAAAGATGAGTGGAGAGAAAAAGTGTGAGTCCTTGTAACACACGGACAGGTCAAAGGTTGGAGGCTCGATGTACTTTTGACCCATGCGGTCAACGATAAAGCTCTGCACGGCAGGAACCATCTGTACACGAGAGAAACATAACATAATGAGTGTTACTAAATATGAGGCATTGTGGTGAAATCAAGCGCTCGTCAAAATGATTAAATCAAAGAAACCGGCATCTTTCTGGGAGTTTGGCAATTTTTCCAATTTTTCTTTTTTGGCTCAGCACCTTTTATGTCCACTTAAAAACACATTTCTGTGTGGATTTTTCTGAAAAAAGTTGATAAAAGGCACAAAAAAAGTAAATGTACAGTTCCAAAGGTCTCTGAAGCTTTGGAAGTCACCAAATTATGGTAACCATTCTCTCTTTAGTTTTACCTCTGAAAGCAGGGGAGCCCCATCTCCTTCAATCCAAAATATCTCGACTTATATTCCAAACAGATGGGTATTTTTTTAATCGAAAGGTAGACAAATTAACAAGCTTTGAGATGATACCAATAACTTCTTATACCCAAAAACTGACAAGCGCCTTATTCCACCGCATCGTGACACAAATTAATCAAATTGATTGAACTTTTGAAACAGCTCAATGCATGCTCAAGATTTCATGATTGAGCAATAACAAAGTTTCATTTAACTCTTTGAATACTTACCTGTGGCAGATATATGAAATGCTCAACCTTCAACATTATAATGATGGCCTATTCATAACTGTTTGACAGATCAGAATCAGCATGCACATTAAGATGTATTCTCATTTTTAAAACATGATTAACAAATCAATTGTCAGCTGCGACATCTTTCCATAAATTTCACACAGCTCTTTTTGGTCCAGTTTAGCAACTTCTAAGCTTATTCCATGTAACTTTCAAGCTACAGAAGGATATTTAATGTGCATTGGTTACCTTGTCAGGTCGGAAGCAGCGTAGGACAATGAGCTCCTCCATACTGGTCAGCTGAGAACACAGGGGCTCAGGACATTTCTCCAAGTGAGGTGTGGCAGAGTCATACAATTTCTTCCATTCATTAGGCTGAGGGGGAAAAAATTAAGTCCCAGTATAGAGATTCTGCTTTCTTAAAAACAGTGTAAGAAACCTGTACGGCATACTCTATTGTTGAAATTCTTGAACTTTTTACCATTTGAAAGGGTCGTCCCTCTTATTGGTGTGCAGTGGGTCTGATCAATGCTCATTAGAATTAAGTACAGCACTAATTGTATGATCATAACTGTTCAATGCATCACATCAGATTCTTCTTAAAACAAAACAAAGCTTCAGAGAATCCTACATTTAGCTATCTTGAATGAGTTAACCCTGAACCTGCCTTAAATGAATACTGACACATGCAAAATCCCTGCTAATAACATCTTCCCTAATTGCCTTCTCTTCCAATAAATTTTCAGACATACTCTGTACTTTGTCAAAGTTCTTTCTTTGTAAGCACAAGTCAGTATTCACAAACGTTCCAAACCTCCTGATTCATCTTACACCATGATCAATTCAAAAAATCATTTCAAAAGATTAAAAAGGATTTCTAGCTCTACCTTTCACAACATTCTGTGTCTAAGTCTGCAAACACACAAAGTAGTTTCCATTTACACAATAATCACAAATCGCAGACATTCTTGTTTCTATTTTTAAAATGTGCACATTTTTTGCTAAGCAATTGCAACCAGAAGAACAGTCACAAATTTACCGCATTTTGAACCATCTCCATGAATCCCTTGAAGGCTGGTAGCTGGGAAGCTCTCACAATCTCTGACCATGATTTCTCTGACAACCACGACGTGGCAGGGTTAGCAAATGGATTCTCCAGAGCCACACCCCCAGTGAGCAGGAATCTCCATTCTTGGTCATCAACTTCACCTCTGGCAGACAGATTTATTATCAGGGAATGTAATTTGGTCCAAAACAATTTCAGCAGCTTTTGTATTTCAACTTGATGTGGATCTAATGATGTTATCATTAGAAACTCTAGAGCTCCATAAGGGAACAACCCCCCCCTTAGTTTACGACTAAGAGTTCAAAGTTTCACTGACTTTTGGAGCAAAAGTTTTTAAGGATGGACAGCCAGGCTAGAAAGTATAGGTGGAACAGTATCAGACAGTTCCTTACTAGACTATATCATAGCTATGTATAGATTACAGTTGTAAAACATCCTGCTCAAAAGCAGATGATTAATTTATCATGGTGTGGATCACTACACAAAGACAAAAATGTTAGTAAATTCATGAGGACGTCTACTTCATTTATGAGTTTTCTATGCCTTTAACTTGAGGTCTTATTGATATAATGGACAAGGCAGCCAACACTTTACACATAACAACACTAAAATACACTTGGCTTACCTGCCCTTGGCCAAACCAATGCATAGCAGGAAGGAGAAAAGCAGTTTGTCTTTCTCAAACAGCGAGCGGCAGACATTCTGGTAAATACTGTAGGTGAAGTCTTCATTCAGATTCTCAATGCGTTCCGCTAAATCTGGTGATGGGGTGCTAGTTGCAATAGACTGAAAACAAAAAAACCCAAACAAGATAAATAATATGCTCTACCAATTTACCATTTGTCCCCAAAAGCTTTTCCTTTTCCACATTTTCAAAATTTAGTTCAAATGCAGATATTTTCTAATTATCATTTTGTTAAAACTTTGAACAGGGCATAACCGCCTGAAACACCACCACTACATGAACTTCAGAATCGGCACCTCAGAGCAGTGTCAATGGCAGAACCAGCAGCCAAACAGGAATTCATTGACTTCAAGCCTCCCCAATGTTTGATGCACTGGGTTGACTGAGAAGGAAATGTTGGCCCAACCCTAGGCAGGGAGACTCAAAAACTCCACAGGAACCTGGAGAACCTGTTGTGGACAGCAGCCTCTGTGTCAGAGACTGGGGTGTCTATTTAACTCTTTCACTACCTGGGTTTTTTTTCTCACATGGAACGGGCTCTATCTGTGACATACTTTCTGATTCTGCCTACCGGCAGACAAATAAAGATTTTGAGTTCAATTTCCAATATTAGCCACATGTATATGAAAATAAAGGGGAAATAATGACCTATTTCAACATTGTTGCTAAAAACGATAATTCTTCAGCTTGAGATTTCAGTTTCAATTGTTACAAAAGTAGGTCATGGCTCACGGTCCAGGGGTGAGAGTAACTCGAGCCGCGGTATGAAAGAGTTAAAGATGAACAAGAAGAATAAAAAGAATTTTGTCAAATTAATTTCCCAACACTTTATTTATGAAGAAAAAGAGGTTAAAATTGTATAAAGTCTGTAGCATCACAGATTTTCATGCAAATACAATTCCTGAGAGTAATATAAAACAAAGTGAGTAAAGAAAGGTGAAGCTGAGACAAAGTAAAGAAAAGTAATATAGAATATATGATAAGTAAACATTCCTAATTCGTGAGAGAAATATTGAAAGAAGACATACACTTATACGGCAAGCAAGTCATGCATACAATGTTGAATAAACATGTAGGCCTACAATATACAGGAACACACAAACATACACACACACACACAAACAAATACACATGCACGCACACACACACATACACACACAAATACAGACAAAAACACACACACACACACAACATAAACACAATCATTAAAAAAGAATTAACCTGTTGATATTTCTCTCCACACACACACACACACACACACACACACACACACACACACACACACACACACACACACCAATACACACACACAAACAAAAACAAAAACTAACAAACCTGCAGATAGAGGTTGATGAACCAGGCTAAGGAGTACTGGTACATGGGGTCAATGTTGGCCAGGTCAGAAATGGTGAAGAACAACATGCTCCCGTGCTTGGCCACCTGAGACAGAGATGTGTTCATCAGGAAGCGGAACAGGCAAAAAAAGTTATTTTTTAAAAAGACAGGTGTTTTTACACCCCCCTCAACACAATCTAGATCATTTAGAAGGCAGGTTTCTGACCCTGCCTGTCAGTGCCAACCCGGGCTAGGAGGGATACAACATTTCAGCATAAAGACCAAGACCCCCTATAAAAATTTCTCCCCACTTGGCAATCGAACTCAGGACGGCCACTTTTCTCCTCAACAATGGGTGGCCGTCTTAGACAATTTCAGCAGTACTCTCTTTTGAAAATATCTCTGTATATTGTCCAGGTCAACAGGTCTCTTGATATTATGGTGATATAATTACATTACTTGAACGTTTTCGACTTTAATAATAATAAATAGCATTTGTATAGCGCATATCCCCGCTCAACAGCAGGCTCTATGCACTTTACACTATATTAAGTATACTAATAAGTATTGTAAGTGATACATTGAGAAGACTGTCAAATATACATTCATTCACTTTCTAAATGAGCAAAAGAAATAAAGACAAATATTTTCTAGGTGCTAAAAGTCTCTATTCCTCTATGACACTATCAGTGGGTGGTTGGCAGGTGTTATGATGTTGTTTTCTCCTTCTTTCCTACTACACATTTGTAATCCTTATCTCTCCTTCTTCTTCTTTATGTCTTTTACTCTTTAGTAACACCTCTAACCTTTTGCACTGACATGACTTACTTGAGTTGTAAGTGCCACAAGCCTGTTACTAAAACTAAAAGACTCCATAAAGAGAAAAACCTACAGGTTTGTAACCATTCCTTGTGACATCAATCTCTTCCTCCGTCTTTGTGGCAATTTTCTGCTTCTCAGAGATTTCGAGGGAAAGAACTTTACTGGATGACAAGATCTCAATTGCGGTCTCATCCTCCAAAATATTGCCCTGTAAAATGTGGAGAAAATTTTTTTTTACTGGTGACAGTGAATGACGTTTTTTCATGCATTTTTAAAGCACTTTGTAACTCAACAAGTTAAAACAGCTGTGCAGCAAAGTAGGATAAGTGCTCATAGGAAAATAAAAAGAAAGGATAAGAATAAGTTTATTCATTACTACTGGAGAAATAGTAGTAGCAAAAAGTGATTGTTATCTTTTCTTTTTATTGGTGTGGTTTGCTTCTTCTTTCCTATCAAACATCTATCGTCCTTATCTCCCCTTCTTCTTTTTTTATGTTTGTTACTCTCTTGTAACACCTCTAATCTTCTGGCGCTCATATGACCTTATGCAGTTGCGAGCGCCGTAAAACCTCTACTAAAACTAAACAGTGATTGTCATCCACTTTTTCCTGACCTGAGAGGAAGAGAGAACCTCCAGAATCTTGTCCTCAATGTCCTTGAGCTGTTTGCGGTTGTGTGCCGACTCCAGGATCAGCTGATTCTTCTTCTCCTCGAGCTGAGGTCTCTCCTTGGCCGCCACCAGACTCAGTAGCTGATCCTCCAGGCCAAGTGGGGTGATCATGAAG